ACATCTTAACACACATATAAATCTGATTTAATAAGCTTATATTTTACTGGGTAGTTTTTCATATTACTAGGGTATTTTATATGACAAAGAAATTCACCATAGGATTTCCTTAAAAAACATACTCCTATTTCTTTCATTAAACCTAAAATACCTGTTAATTTACCAAATGCTAACCTAAACTGAACTTTTCAAGAATACATATGTTGTATATAGCAGGTCACACCTGTACAAATTGTACACACATATGCATCATAAAAGTAAGTAAATTAATGTAGGAAACCTAAAGAGTAAAATAATTAGAAACTCCCATCTAGAGTTAAAAGTATGTAATTAAGCAAAATATTGGGCTTATGGTAAGTATGCAATGAAAAATATATGGATTGAATAATACTAAATTACTGGCTCTTCTAGGCATGATCATTAAGAGTCATTCTGTCTTTGAAACTGATCTTTATTCTGCAAATCTACTCTTTTATTTATCTTGTCAATTTCACTATGACAGGATTATCTTATGATATTTTTTATTTTTATCAGAGGGCAATGTATTCAGTATATTTAGATTCTACTTTATGTTGTGCATGTTTTTTCCTTCAAATGTTCTTTAGGAAAAAAAAATTGAGCAGAAGCAGACAGACTGTTCTAGGACATCCCTTCCTTTAGAGACAAGTTTCTCCAGCATAAAAAAAGATTGGCTTCCAAATTGGTTAAACTGTTTCTTCTGTACAGTACAATGACATGTTGTCTTGTTACAGTGAACATGTGCTCTCATTTTGGACAAGCTGTTCTGTGAAAAAGTTTTATTTAGCCCACAGAGCCAGTCCCTGGATTTGTGGGTGTTACCTCCTTTCCGTGTTACCAGGTTTTGTCATCATCATTATTGCTTTCGCTCTGTCAGCTGTAACACAGTTTAGTAGCAACCTTTCTTAAAAAACAAGATGTTTCTGAAAATAGACAGAACAGTTGGCTAGACAGAAAAGAGATATCAACAAAAGTAGGTCTGTTGTTCCTCTGTGTTTTGCTCCCTGAATCACTTCTGAGATAGCTTCACACATTGTAAATGAACATGCACTGGATGAGGGTATAATCTAATATAATCTGTATGTCTTAATACAAACCTTTATCCTACTTCATTACAGAAATCAATCTATATGGACACTGATTTGTTTCAAAGAATTCTTAAGTGTTTTTACTTTTGTTCAAATTAAGGAATTTAACCAAATATATTGACTGGGTTTGTTTGTTTGCTTTTTTTTTTTTTTTTGTAAGTGAGAAAACTGGCTTCTGTAAGTAAATGAATACCTTAGTTCAAGATCAATAGATAGATCCAGTTGTTTCTTCATGGTCTGATTGTATAGCTGATTCAACCATGAGGAAGTAGTAGCTTTATTGTTTCTGATTTTTTCTTCCTCTGTGCATCAGTTAAAACAAAAATTAGGTCCAGCAGTATTTACTCATTGGGCGAAATGACATTTTTCAGCTTCCCAGTAATTAGCAGAAATGACCAATATGGAACAAAGGGACAAGCCCCTCTAATCACTTCCTTGTCCAGTAGAAATAACATGACATCCCTTTCAGAGCACAAGTTGGAAGACACATGAGAAATCGCCAACCCACTAGCCATTCAGCATCCTATGGTTGTCATATTTGACTGTGTTTGGATCAAATGCCTACAAGGGCACTATTCTGAGAAATCAACATCCCAAATATGATGATAAATTCAGATGTTATCTCTGCTTCCTGATTTTACCTTTGTGTCTGGACTGTCTTCCTACAGTGTACATAAATATACCAATAATATTTTTAAGTGCACATTTGTTTTTGTGCTATCTCTTCAATTAATCTTGGATAAATTGTTTTTATTTCTAAATCTTTTCTATACAAGATTAAACTAAGTTTTATCAAATAGAGCTTTTTAATCTGATATGTATGAAAGGGCTTCAGGAAGCAGTGAGCCAACTGAAAATGAATACACAGTGGTACAAGTGGCTTCACATGTACTTTGTTCTGACAAAAGGATCATGTCTTTTTTCAGATTCACAAATGGGTGTATAACTTCCCCAATTTTAAGAACTACTGCCATCTGGTTTTCTCCTTCTTGTTGCATTAGTTAGGAAATGCTAATCCCTACCTTAGGTTCTACTGAATACATGGGATCACCACCTTCCTTTTCCATTATAGTTCACTGGTGGTCCCTTATTTCTCTTACGTTTCTGGATTTTGTACTTTCTTGTTCCAATGTAAGTAAGAGAAGCAAGAGAGAGAAAAGAGATATGATGCACTAACCCTCTGTCAGTAACAGTGGTTGGCATTTTCATGTGTGGCACCTCATTTGATCCACTGCAGCCCTACAAGTTAGACAGTATCTTTGGTTTTACAGATGAAAAAAGTGAAGCTCAGAGAAATTAGTCCTTCATACAGCCTATACATGGAAGAATCCATATATAAATCTGTGTTGAATCTGTCAGGGAGGAAATTTTTTCCTTCTTCCCTTTTGGTTTCTTTGGCTGGCCTAATAATTACATTGACATAAAACAAGCAAACAGAAGAAAAACAATTTGATTTAGTATATATAGGAGTCTCACGTAGACTTGAGAGGGTCAAAGACAGGCAATTGAGGCTTATATGCCATCCCGAGCTAAGGCAAAGGGGGCTTCAAAGAGAAGGAAGACTATTCATTGGAGGATGAGAAGAGCAAATGTTTAATAAACAAATGTTTGCTGTTCTTTTTTTTTTTTTTTAAAGATTTTATTTATTTATTTGAGAGAGAGCACGAGAGGGAAGAGGGTCAGAGAGAGAAGCAGACTCCCTGCCGAGCAGGGAGCCCGATGCGGGACTCGATCCCGGGACTCCAGGATCATGACCTGAGCCGAAGGCAGTCGCTCAACTAACTGAACCACCCAGGGGCCCCCAAATGTTTGCTGTTCTGATGTAAAAAGTTACCCTGGTAATCGCTCTCTTCTTGGTAGAGGCCCGATATCTAAATTCTTTTAGGTAGTTGAGGGGGAAGTAAAAGGCTCTTCTTGAGCCGGTTAAGCCTTGATTGCCTTCAACTCAAATAATTCACATGCCAAAGTGGCACATTCTGGGGCATCCTGCTCTGAACCCCATCACTGAAGTTTATTCCTTCACAAAGCCTTTCCAGACAGAGTAAATGGTCATAGCTTATGAACAGCATCACCTTTTATAACGTCTAACTTGCATTTTATTATTATTTTCTATCATCAAAACATACAGTTGTTATTCTAGTATAAATTTACAAATGCACATATGCTGTTTTATTGCATCAGTGTTATCATATTGTCTCATACTGTGACAGAGTGCAAGAATCATTTATATATTCATTAATTCATTCACTTTTTAAAATAACATTTATTAAACCTTACTCTTGTCAGTGCTTTGCTAAGTTCTGGAATAGGGGCTCTATGTTCTAACTTCATATTAGATTCTACTGGGGGACTTTTAAAAAAAATGCCAGTACCTGGTCTTGGCAACAGAAATTTGATGCAATTAGTGGAGGTGGCACTTGGGCAGTGTATTTTTAAAAAGCATTCCCAGCCGTGGCTGGTGTTGAGAACCACCGTTCTAGAGTAGTGGCTTTTCAAAGCATGGTCCCCTCCATCTGCAGCATCAGCATCATGTGGGAACCTCTTACAAAGACAGATTCTCAGCCCCCACCCAGCCTCCTGAACTGTACCAGAAACTCCAGGGATAGGACTTGACTATCTCTGTTTAACAAGCCCTTTAGATGTTTCTGAGGCAAGATAAACGTTGAGAAATACTTCTCTAGAGACACAGGATGAATAAGGCACAATACTTGCCACTAAGCAATTCTCCTTGGTCTCAAGGAGTTCCCAGTTGTTTAAAATATGCATTTTAATTACCTAGCACGTTCCATAATCTATAACTTTAGTTGATAATGACAGCATTATTACCACTTAAAAAGTGTAATGACTTTCATCTCTTCTGGGGCAGCCATTAAATGAAGTGTTTATAAGAAAGTAGTGGTCAGTGGATAATATCTCTTAACAAAAGTCTTATGAACTTTATGGGTTCAGCTGAATCATCACAGTGTTTTGTTAACATACACACATACAGTGAGAGAGACGGAATTTGGAATACAAAAACTTAAAGGATAAGTATTTCCAAGAAAGGATTTTAAAGTGGTTTTTGTGTTGTGTTTCCATTCTATTATTGTCAATATCACACTTGCTATTTCCCATCTTTATTAATGTAGCTTTTTTTTACAGCTCTATGACAGCATAATTGACATGCAATAAACTGCATATACTTAAAGCACTTAATTTGATCAGTTGGGACACGTATATACACCAGGACTATAAAACAGCTGCAAGGGGCATCGAGTTCTATTACAGGTACCTCTTAGTTGTGCAGATCTCCCCCTCTAACCCCAAATGGCAGAATGGGGTTGCAGAGAAGGCTTCCTGAGGATGGGAGCATGAGCTAAGATTCGTAAGCCAACTAGATGTCAGCGCAAGTGAATAAAATGGGGCAAGATTGTGCAGGATGGAAATTAAGCGCTTCTCATCTGTGTGAAGTCTAGATTCTTGTGGTTGTTATTTATCATCATGTAGGGTTAAAAATACCTACTAGACCCCTTTGTCTCTTAAAATTCCAATTGAGAAAGGAGCTTAACCACGAAGTAAATACACAACACTGTTGCTGACACTAGCGATCCCAGTTTCTATCTCTGCAGGTAATCTCCTGCATTAGTGTAACCTGTTTAGCTTTGACCACCCATCTGCTCTTGAATGCCCACTTCTCTGCGGTGTCTTATACAGAACAGCTTGCATAAAAGTGATATTTTTGCTTTTGTAGCAGTGGAATCTCATTCCTTGCCTTTAACTTCCTTTTAGCTTTTCTCTCTTCTTTCTTCTGAGCAAATTAGTATGTCCCTAAATGTTCATTTCTCATTACCACCAGGTGCTCACACTGGGACTTTACTCTTTGGGTTTAAGTTCTCATTCTTTCTTCCATTGCAGGCTGGCTCCATGAGTTGGGAAAGAGACTAGAATCTCCATACTACGGCAACAATACCTTAGGGGGCCCGTCCATCCGAAGTGCTTATATTGCCGCTCTGTACTTCACCCTCAGCAGCCTCACCAGCGTTGGGTTTGGGAATGTCTCTGCTAATACAGATGCAGAAAAGATCTTCTCCATCTGCACCATGCTGATTGGTGGTAAGGGAAATTCTTCTTTCACACCAAGAGAAAATGCCATACCATTGCTGTTCTGTTTACTCGGTCCTAAAACACAATAGCGATATATTATTTAAATGGGAAGAGTCTAAAAGCACTAGTTAGAAAATCAGTGACAAACACTTTAATATACATATAGATTAGCAGTGAAAGTCTATGATGTCAAAGAATTCCATTTTTTGGACAGATGAAGAAGTAACCATTTACTTGATGGCTGATTTTGAAGGGACAGGAACATTGTTTTCTCCGCATTGTGTTTACCCCTAGTGTTTATGAATTACATGAGTCTGAATTGCAGGTATATGTTTGAAACTCCATTCTATAGTCTCAAACAGGTCAGTGTTATCAAATTTTATTAATACTAATATAGTACATTAAGGATGTTTGATATATCACTTAGTTAAAAATAACAACAAAAGCAAAGAAAAACACCCAATACAATAATAAATATTTAACATTTTAAAATTGTTTTTATGTTCCATTCTCTGTGCTAAATGCTTCAGTACAATACCCTGAGTAATCCTAAAGGCAAATCTATGGGTTGGGCACTATTACTATCCCATTTAACAAATAGGCAAACTAATATACTATTGTCTCCAAGCTCCAAACCCACCTTCTGGGCTGTGCTTTGTGATGCTGGAATTTGGACTCTACAAACCTCATTTTTCTTTGCCAGCCGACTTCAGTTACTTCCGCCGATACCGCCGATAGGGGCGCCAGAGGGAGACCGGAAAGCAGGAAGTGGAGAGAGACTGCCTGCTTCTGATGTGTACGATGTACCTTCAGTGGCAGACTGCCCCAATCAGCAGCAAGTGGTCCCAGCGTTGAGCATCCTCAGGCACTCTCAGAACCAGCCTCACTGGATCTTCTTGGAGATCCCTGAATTAGTTGGGAGCGCCTCAGCATCCAAAGTCAGAGCCCTGGTTTCTAACGGCTCTTCACAGCTCCTCTTTTGGGCTTCTGTGTTCTGATTAAGTGCACTTCTTCCCTTTGTCTACCCGTCTCAAAGGACAGAAGCTCCTTCTCGTGGTTATTATATCCACATGACCTCTATACTCTCTTTTTGCTCATTTAGCTCTCTAGCCCCAGGAAAACCAATTCTCTATAGTGAATTTCCTCTGTTGAAACCTTAAGTTCAATTTCCCTTTTCTGAACCTCCTAACTTATACAGGATTGACACCATTCTTATCCACACTTTTCAGATGATAAATGCTTGGCGAAATACAGTAACTTTCCCAATGTCAGACCATCAGTAAGTAAAAGAGGCAAGGTTTGAACTCAGATAAATGCTTACTTCCATCTACAAATTCATAATCGGAAACTTACTGAATTACAAGACAGCTCTTGTGGAGTCGTAGGAGATGTGGATATTTACCTGGATCAAGTAAACATTCTTCTTAGACCAGAATTCTTCAACTAGGGTTCTATCAGTGCTTTTTACCCCATATGCTTCTCTCCAAAAGCCCGTTTTATCATATTCTTTCAATGGTCTTAATCCCAGCTATCTCTTAGAGTTTCGAACCTTATAATAGGGGATGGTTCCTACCAGCTTCCTTGCGTGGGAGATATAAACTGAGTATGCGGGGCTTTAAGCAATGACTCATCCCGCCTCTGGCGAAATCAAAGGAGTATCAAGCCAACCCTTCCCTTAAGGAACTTATGATCCAGTTTGGAAGAGATGGGCTGAAAGACGTGGAAAGAGTTTTAATTATAGCAGGCAGTAAACGCTACATGCCGCATCAGTCAGGAAGTTCAGAGGCGGTGACAAAGCAAGAGCCATGGATGGGGTGAATTTCTTGGAAAGGCAGTGCTTGTGGCAGAGTTGCTGAAATGGCGTGCTGGGACTGCCACAATTGTCACAGGCTCTTGGCTGATGTATAGCAGCAACAGCCCAGGGAGCCGAGAACAGGAACTCTCATTTTCTGAAGAGCTATAGTGTTCCAGACAGCGTGGTGGCTGTTTTATACCCACTATTATGACTTCTCTAATTGCCAGTCTCCTTGATTGCCTATCTTTCAGCTTAGCAAAATGGCAAGCATTTTGCCAATATACACAGTTTATACTTATTTAATATTTGCCCGTGTTTCTTCTCTTCCTGGTGGAAATTCGAGGAAATGTTCAAAGGCTCAAGGTTTAACCTACTGATTTAACATTTCAAGAATCTGCTAAATAATTGAGCTTTTATTCTCTATTGATCCACATACTATATTGTGAATGGTCCTGCATCAGAAATGGGTAAGGCATAAATTATCCCCTGCTATTCACTGTAAGTAGAAAGCAATGCTGGTCACTGGGCCAAAAGATAGGGGAAATAATCAGATAATGTTACTTTGTCACTTGTTTATTGTTCATTGATCCAGTTATCGTGGTGCGAAACCAGTGCTCATTTGTCAGTGGCATTAGAGCATTTAGGTGACTTGAATAGAACTGAGGAAGCCGTTGTTTTTGAATGGCAAATGGCATCTAAATAACTTGAATTTATTAGTTAAAGCTTCTCAAATTTGTGTTTGTGGGAAATAACTCTGTATTACTGTGACAATTACCCTAGGCTAGAAGAAATGATACCTGCATCTTAATATTTCCTAATTAACTAACTAGCATAACTTTGAGAGCTAATCAGAAGTGCTCACAATATGGAACATTTTGTTCACTTAATTCTTATAACACTATGAGATAGAAGTTATTAACAACTTAATTTAGATATAAGGCAGCAGAGGTTTGGTAAGTTCAAATGCCAGGATTCACTGAGACCTAGCAAACTTCTTACAAAATATCCATTTTATTGTATACCATAATTAATTTTATTCCCTTAATTTCTACAAATATATACAAATAATTTATTTTTTTTTAAATTCAGGTGTATATTACTTTGGAATCAAGTCTGAGGTATCTTATTAGGAATCTCCACCCAAGGCTAATGAAATTACTAATGACAGGGATGCAATATTTACTACAAAAGCAAGCAGTAGCAATATTAAATGTTGCAGGTAACCGCCAAAACCCCAGATAATTATCTCGGGCAGAGGCACTCACTGGCTGAGTGAGGAGGTGGGAAAAAGGGGAAGCTTTCATGTGAGCATCTGTAATGACAGTGTGTGCGAACCACTGATTTATGGGAAGAATATTTAAAACTATCAAAGAGATCCAGCAAAAATAATGAGAAAAAAACCCATACCTGGACAAATCTATGTAAACTTTGAGAATACCCAACACAAAAAATAACCTTAAAAGTTTCAAACAACTATGAAATTAATAAGCGAATATTGCAAAGCTGACGGATACACATTCAATATGCAAAAATTAATAGTATTTCTATATGCTAGTAACAACTAGAAAATGAAATATAAGAAGTAATTATAAAAATTTCACATATCAAATGTGCAATTCTACTATACAGAAAAATACAAAACATTAGTGAGAAAATTTCCAAATAGTTTAAAATAATGGAAGGATATACAATGGTGATGGTTTTAAGACTCAATATTATAAATATATCAGATTTACCCAGATTAACCTAAAGATTCAATGCAATGCCAATGAAAATTCTAGTAGATATCTGTTTATGTGTGTTGGTGGGTATGTGTGTGTGTGTTTGAAAAATGACAAGCCGTTTCTAAGGATTAGTGCAAATGCAGAGCTAAAACTAGTCAAAGCAATTGTAAAGAAAAACAAAATTAGCACTAAGATTTGCATTACAGATATCAAGATACATTGTAACATTACAGCAATTAAGAAAGCACGTGCTAGGGGCACCTGAGTGACTCAGTCGGTTAAGCGTCCGCCTCTTGATTTTGGTTCAGGTCATCATCTCAGGGTCTTTGGCTTGAGCCCTGTGTTTGGCTTCATGCTCAGCGGGGAGTCTGCTCGAGATTCTCTCTCTTCCTCTGTCCCTCCCCCCTGCTCTCTTTCTCTTTCTCTCTAAAATAATAAATAAATAAATCTTAAAAAAAAAAAGAAAGAAAAAGAAAGCATGTGTTAGCTCAGGAACAGACAAATAAACCAGTGGAATAGAAGAGTGTAGAAATAGGTCCATGCATATATGGCTACTTTATTTATGACATAGGTGACGTGCGGTGTGAAGGGGGAATAATGATTCTTTCAATAAATGTTGCTGGGTCAAATGTATATCTGCATGTTGAAAAACAACCTTGGCTCCTCCTAAAACTGTACATTAAAATTAATTCCAGCTGGAGCCCTAACCATAAAGAAAAAATGGGTAAGTTGAACTACAGAATTTGTATTTATCAAAAGACATTATTTAAGAGTGTAAAGAGAGCCATAGGATAGGAGCAAGTATTTGCAAACATTTATCTGACAAAAAGCTCTTATCTATTATATATACTGTCTAAAAATCAATAAGAACAGACAATCCAAAAATGCATAAAAACTTTAAAAAGTACTTCACAGATTTCCATGCCAAATAAATAAACAATACAAATATAAAAAGGTACTCAACATCATTCATCAAGGACATGTAAATTAAGATCAAAATTATATAGTATTTATATTCATTGGAATGCTATTCTTAAAAACAATGACAACCCAAAGGTCTGAGAGGATGTGGAACATCTTGACTTCTCCTATACTGTTGATGGGAGTGCAAGTGGTACGATAATTGTGTCGATATCCACCAAAGCTGAACATATTTGTACTCTGCCACTCAACACGTCCAATACTTATGTATGTTTATCAAAAGACAGATAAATGCCTGTGGAAGCATTATTGTAAGAATCTCAAACTGGAAATGCCCATTAATGGGAGAATAAATAAGTAAATTGTGAAATTATTATTCAATAGAGTACTATACAGTCATGAGAATGAATGAACTATTACATCATGCAACCACGTGGATGCATTTTACAAACAATGCTAAGCAGAGAAGCCAGACACCAAAAAGTACATATTGTATGACTTTGTTTAGAGAAAGTTTAAAAGTAGGCAAAACTTATGGATTGCAATATAATTCACAACTGCGGTTACCT